CGCGCAGCTGCATCTCTGCAAGTTCATGGTCTATGGCGCCTGCAAGTTTCTGAGAGCCGGGTAAGGCGCCGCGCCGGGAGCGACGGCGGGCGGAGGCCCCGCGCACCCATAAGCACTTCCAGCCCGCTTGGGAGTCCTACTTGAAGTTTGAGCATACAATTCGGTGGCTCTGCCCTGGCCTCGCCCCGTCATACACTAAAGGGAGCGTTGATTGAGCACCTGCTGAGTACCTGGCACAGTGCGAGGGACTCGGGGTCGAGTGGGGTCCTCTAGACGCCTGGGGAGAGAGATTGATTTACATAGAGCGCGGTAGTGCTGGGTGGGAACACCCGGGTGTGGCCGTGTGGGGTAGGGAGGTAGGGAGGCGGTGGCCTAGGGGAGCTCCACGACGCCGCGGGTCCCCCCTTGCCAGCTTTGAGAGCAGACAATGAAGGTTTTCTCTGCCCAGCAGCTGGAAGAGATCTTTAAACCCCGCTCAACCCTATTTATCTGTTTACAAACTGGAAAATGCAAGCTCCCTGCCATCGCCCACAGGTCCTGGGGCACTGGTCCCTGCCCACTCGATACCCTTCTGTGCCTGGAACACCCCCCCCCCCCCCCAGCCTGGGTATTTCTGGGAGCCTGAGCATTTCTGGGAGCCTTTGCTCTGCCTGGAGTGCCCTTCCTGCTCTTGGCTGGCCCTGTTTGTTAATCCTTCAGGCCTGAATCTAAAGATCACATCCCATTTGAGGGCTTTTCCTCCCCTTACTCTTGGTCACAGGGAACTGTTTATTTTCCTCATGGCACCCACTTGCCAATAGAATGGAAACTCCCTGAGGGCAGAGGCCCTAGCTGTCTCCCCAGCACTTAGCGTACATGTTCTGTGCATAGCACGTGGTCAGTGGGATGTGTGGAAGGGATTGCTGAGGTTTATGTCTAAGAATTTGGGCCTCACCCTGAAGGTGATGGGGCGGGTAAAATGGCAGGAGAGAGCAACCATCAGGTTTGCATTTTAGGAAGTCTTAGGTAGTGGTGTGGGTGCCAGTTTAAGGGAGGATGTTGTGGGGAACCACTGGGAAGCTAGTCATGTAGGATAATTCCTTCCTCCCCTGCTCCCTCCTTTCTTGCTTGCTCCCTGGTGTGTGTGTGTGTGTGTGTCTGTCTGTCTGTCTGTCTTAATAGAGTAGATATTTCTTGCTCATGTCAGGCCCAGCAGTGAGCATGGGGTGGGGGGCCTTAATCCATACAGTCATTCAGGGATCCAGGCTGACTGACCTCCGCTCTGTGCCTCTCAGCACATGGCTCTTGAGGCCAGCCTAGGTATCCAGTTCCAGGGGGCTGATGGAAAGGGGGTTGCATGGGAGGTTTTTGTGGGCCAGGTCTAGAAGTGGTGGATTTCCTTTCACCCACATCCCATTGACGGAAGCTGTCTCGTGACCCTGTCTAGATGCAGGGTGGCTGGGAAAGGTAGTCTCTAGGAAGCAGCTGTCTGGAAGTATCCAGATTAGAACTTTCCAAGGGCTATGTGTGAGAAATTTGGGAGAGGTGAGTTGGTGACGGTGTGGTGAGAGGATATCAGGTGACAACTCTTCTGTCTCTGTTCCTACTGTGGCATGGATGTTGTTCACTGAGAGAGCAAGAGAGGGTTTTAGTTTGGAAACATGCCCAGGAGGCAGCTATTCAGGTCAGAAGCTTCGTAGGAAGGTCGGGGCCCCAGTGTGCTGGGCTGGTTTGGGAGATACTGGGTGGTGTATGTTGTGGCTGCAGCCCCAGGAGTGGATTAGATCTGAGGTAGAGTCTGAGGCCCGAAAAGAGGCTGAGGGTGGAACTCTGGGGAAATCAGCCTTCAGGGATGAGGCAGTCCAAAGGAGGGCAGGGAACAGCAGCCCACGAGGAAGAAGGCACACAGCAAATAGTGGCTGGATGAAGCCACTCTTGGGGGTAACTGCTGGATCTGTTTAATGTTCATATTTGGTAAAATAAAGATGGCAGCCCTGTTCTTAAGCTAGTTACCAAAATGTGGCTTCAGGTCTGACTTGTCTCAGAAATCTGGAGTGTGATATTTATTGGCTCAGATGACCTTGAGTTTTCTTCTTTCTTCAGTTTTTTCTTTTCCTTGTGGTTTACACAGGTGAGTTTCTTGAACCTTCCATTTCTGACTCACTTTAGGGAGAGTAGGTGTGGTTGGCTGCACTTCTCTGCTTCCCCTGTGACTCTGCTTGTCTTCCTGAACCGCAGGGTCAGTTCTTTTAGAAATAGGTCATCAGTCCTGCTGCAGAGCTGGTACGGAGTCCTGGGTCCCTGGCTCTTGGTCCTCTGCTCAGGGGGCAGTGAGCCTGGTGATCTAGGGCACAGTCCCAAGATCCAGCCCATCTTGTTTCAATCTGGGCACTGCTCCTTGCTAGCTGGTGGCTTTGGGCAAGTGACTTTACCTCCAGGTCTCAGTTCCCTCATCTGCAAAGTGGAGTTAATGATATTACTCCCCTCACAGACTGGTTGAGGACTGAATGAGTTAGCTCATAAAACATTTTGGCAATCCCCGATACTTGGCAGTTGCTCAATAAATTTTAGTAGTCGTTGTCATTGTCATCATCAGTCATCATTACACTTATTAGATATATTTGGCTCTGGCAGCACCAAATTGTTTGCCTCTCTTCTGGAATGTTCTTCCTTTCTCCTCTTGCTGTCTCCTCCTCACCCTTTAAGTATTCCACTCAGACTTTATGCCATCCAGCGTGCTCCCCTGACTTCTTCCCCAGTTCTCTCCCAGCCCAGACTGGCTCAGGTGCCCTTCCGCTCTGCGCTGACGGATCCTGACCACAGCTGACATTGCACTTGCCACTCCATATCAGAGTCCCCTCTATGTCTGTCACCTCCACTAGTTGAGGGAAAGAGAGCAGGCAAGGATGACTTCCGGGTTTTTGGTCTGTGCAGTGGGAGAGGAAAGTTGCCCTTTACTGAGCTGGGGGATTCCGTAAAAGGTGCAGGTTTGGGGTGGATCGGGGTTTGGCATTCTCCTGAGATGTGACATAGGAGGCATGGCAGTGCCAGAGTCAAACAATTGCTTTTGGCCTGACTCTTCTGGGTCCTGGTGACTCAGACAGTCATTTAAAGGTTTATCTTTGGGTTCTCAGGGCATGGTGCCAGTGTCTGGCTCACCCTGGTGCTTATCAGATGCTTGTGGATGGAAAGAATGGAGGAAGAGAGCAAAAAAAAAAGAACTGGGTTCAGGGCTGTGTGTGTGTGTGTGTGTTTATACGCCTGCATGCATGCACGTATGTAACCTGTAATGATAAGATGCCGTGCTTGTTGAGTCAGCCTGTGGTTAACTGCTTACCGACTGACTGCTGTGCAGCAACTCCTCCTTGTCATTCTCATCAAATGCTTGCTCAGAGGTGCTGTCCTGGGCCTCAGACCTTACAAGGCCCCATCTCCTCCTTGGCAAATTGTTGTTGTCCTATAGACATGCTGGTTTTTCTTTTCTCTTTTTTCTTTTCTTTCTTTTTCTTTTTCTTTCTTTTTTTTTTTTTTTTTGAGACAGAGTCTCGCTCTTGTTGCCCAGGCTAGAGTGCAATGCTGTGATCTTGGCTCACCACAGCCTCCACCTCCTGGGTTCAAGCGATTCTCCTGCCTTAGCCTCCTGAGTAGCTGGGATTACAGGCATGCACCACCTCACCCAGCTAATTTTGTATTTTTAGTAGAGACAGGGTTTCTCCATATTGGTCAGGCTGGTCGTCTTGAACTCCCGACCTCAAGTGATCCACCCACCTCAGCCTCCCAGAGCACTGGGATTACAGGCGTGAGCCATCGCGTCCAGCCTACATGCTGGTCTGGTGCTTGTAAACACTATCAGGAAGTGTTTCTGAAAAATTGTCATGAAGACTGATTTTAGCAGCTTTCAGTTTGCCACCACTGCCATAACAAAGTCCTAGGAGGCTTAAACAACAGAAATCGATTTTCTCACAGTTCTTGAAGCTAGAAGTCTGAGATAAGGTGGCAGGGTTGATTTCTTCTGAGGCCCCCTCCTTGGCTTGTAGATGGCCACCTTCTCATCATGTCCTCACATGGTCTTCCCTCTGTGTGTGTCTGTGCCCCAGTCTCTTCTTATAAGGACAGTAGTTATGTGGGATTGGGGCTCACCCTATTGACCTCTTTTTAACTTAATTACCTCTTTAAAGACCTGCTTTCCAAATAGAGCCATATCCTGAGGTCCTGGGAGTTAGGACGCCAACATAGGAATTTTGAGGAGACTCAATTCAACATATAACACCAACTCTCCTTCTTTGCAGGAAGAACTGTAGGAATAGTCACAGCTTGACAACCGAACATAACCTGAGTGTGCTGAGAACTCATGGCGTTGACCACCTGAGCTATAACGAGCTATGCCAACTGTTGTTTCAGAACGACCCCTGGCTTTTGCCAGAAGTGAGTGCCAGGGGAAGTCTGGGTTTCACAGCTCCCTGGGGATGTTCCTGTATCTTGGGAAATGTAATGATTGTGAGTGGAATGGGTGGGCCCTTGGGGGTCTCTAGTCTGGTTCCCACATGCAGAAATTTGGGATGTGAAGCAGAAGGAGCAATTGATTGAAGTTCAAGGGTCAGCTTTGCCAACAACCCTGTTCCACAAACATATGTGCCAGATGCCATGGATAGCTGTGTGACTAGGGCTGATACTTTAACTTCTCTGAGCCTCTCAGTGTGTTCCATTGAGAAATGAAAGGGTGGTGTTTGGCCTTCTCTAAGATGCTTTAAGCCCTCAGAGCCTCTTTGACTTTGAATTGTAGAATAGAGAACTCAGAGAAAACTGGGGCCTGGGGAAGGGAGAATTGATGAGTCAGTGGGAGAAGAGTATAGGTAGATTGTAGCAGTCCTTAGGATGTAGCCATTTGATTTGCATCGTCTCATGTGAAAGGAGCAGCTATAGTCACTTTGAAGTTCTTGGATTTTCCCAGTGGAGGGGCTGCTTCTGTGCAGTCTCCTTTCCACTTGGTTCCCATTTTAGCCAAGGGCATTTGTTAGCAGCCGTCATCTAGAGTGAGGGATGTTGTAGCTGTGTTCTGTGTGGAGGATGGAATCACAGCTTGGGAAGCCCCTGTCTCACCAGTGGACTGGCCACTGGGAAGGTGGTGTCGTGTGAGACCTTCCTGAACTGGTGGTTTTTTTCCCGTCTGTCAACAGATTTGCCAACATTACAACAAAGGAGATGGACCCCATGGCTCTTGTGCCTTTCAAAAACAGTGCATCAAGCTCCATATCTGCCAGTATTTTTTACAGGGGGAATGCAAGTTTGGCAAGAGCTGTAAGAGATCCCATGATTTCTCTAATTCTGAGAATCTGGAAAAATTGGAGAAGTTGGGTATGAGCTCAGACCTGGTGAGCAGGCTGCCTTCCATTTATAGAAATGCACATGACATCAAGAATAAGAGCTCTGCCCCCAGCAGAGTGCCTCCTCCTTTTGTCCCACAGGGGACTTCTGGTAAGGCTGGTGGGAAGGTAAGGCTGGTGGGGAGTGGTAAGGCTGGTGGGGAGTGGTAAGCCTGGTGGGGAGCATGGGAGGTCCTGGACTGGGGGCTCCCGGATTCCAGCTAGCCATTACACGGAGCGTGTGACTTTGGGCAAGTCTGGTGCTGCTTTTAGTAAAACGGAGTTGATGATGCTTTCCTAACAAGGCAGGGGGTGCAGGGGTGAAATCATAAGACATGATCAAGCAAGCCATCCTAGACAAATGTGAATTGGTATTGATGGTGAGTAAATTCTGAATGGGCCTAGTCTGCACTGACATGGGAGACTTGGCTCCTCCCCCTGTGCAGTCACCCCTCTCTTCACGCCCACGAGAGCATGTGCTTCAGGAAGGAACCCAAAGTTAGGAATGCTGTGCTGACAGCTCTGGGGAGCATGCCTTGTGTTGTATTCTGATTTTACAAAATGAGTGAAAGAAGCATACCTTAATTATGGCATTGGCTGTATTCCTGCCATGAATAAGTAGCGTTTTTGAGTCATTGTAAATTTGTCTGCTTTGTTCTCTGCTCATCTCCAGCACCTAGACAGTGCCTGGCCCACAGTAGGTACGCTGATGTTTGTTGAATGAATGAGTGTGCTAGGATGCTTATTTTTTAAAAAACACTGTCAGGTTTAGTGACAGGCAAATTTCGAGCAGAAATTTTTATTTAATAAGCATTTCCTGAGTACCTGTTGTTGGGCAGATGAATAATGTGGTCTGTCAGAGAGATTATGATACACTGGCATCCAGTGGATTTCACAGTATCAGCTGTTGGCTGGCCGTTCTGTTATCCACTCTTTGATTCAGCACCTTTGTGTGCTTGCCACATGCTGGGCACTGTCTTGGGCGCTGGTTATTCCTTGGTGAAGCTGAGACATGCCTCCCCTCAGAGCAGAATCCAACCCGCTCAGTTAGCTGTAGTGGTGGCTACAGTTTTAACAGAGTGCTTCCTAGAATGTCAGTTGCATGCCAGGACTACCTGCAAACAAATGCACCACTCTAATTGTACTTGACTTTTATATTTAAAAGTTATCCATTGTATTTGTTTTTTCTTTACATTGTCGTCAGTTATGTTTTCTTAATTTCTTTCAGTTGTAGGAAGCCTAGAAGTAGACAGGTTTTGTATTAAATAGATCTTTAAGAGTATCTTAAAGCCTTGAATACAGTTGGATTACAGCCTTGTCAGAAAGGGAGGAGGGATCCACTGCCCAGTGATACCAGCTTCAAGGGCAGTCACCATCGTGGGGAGAGAGGGAGATGACCTCTGGGGTCCCATAGACCTGGATTTCGAGTGAAGTATCTCAGAGGCTTATAAAAAGAAAAGGGAAGATGAATAACAAAATGACAGGTGGCACTAAATAGGGATTGCAAATTAATTTTATGTGTTCATTTGGGGGTAGCTGGGTGAGAGTAAATGTCACAGGTAAAGAATCATTGGCATGATGCTAGTAAAGATAAACTAGAAAGGATTTATGTGCCCTTTTTATATTAAGATCCTGATAATTAACCTAAAATTTATTAAAGGGGCTTCTTTTTGAAATGTGGACTTTGTATTTATTACTCTTTTTTTGGTATTAGTACCCAGTTCTGATAGTTCATTAATGAGTATTTGCTATATAGCCTCAAATCTAGTTTATAAAAAGTAGCCCTGTTTGCCCTCAGGGGTCATCAACCTTAGGCATAGAAGGAATTGTAAGATGCCTCAACATGTAAGACGGTGGTTCTCCCCTTATTACAAAAGTGTCCCAAGTCCCACCCCTGGAGGTTCTGATTGAGTCTGGGGCGAAGTCAGTCTAGGGCAGAGTCAGGCACTTGTATTTTTAAATGGGTCTTGTAGTGAATTGGGTGGACAGCGATTGTTGAGAAAGGAGTCCCTTCATGGAGTCCTGGATCTGGCAAGGAGCTGTGTGGCCTCAGGCTGCCAGCCTGTCACTAAAAAGTAGAGGGCCCACCTGTGTAGGAGCACTTTCACCCCAAACATGATAGGGCTCTGTGAGCTTGCCTTGCCCACTTTTGTGCAGAGAGCTGAATGAATCCTCTTTAACTCTCCTTTGTATCCCTTGTCAGAAGCTGACATATCTTTGTGGTGTTTCTTTGCAGAAAGAAAAGACAGTTCAGGTTCTGTGTCCCCAAACACTCTTAGCCAGGAGGAGGGTGATCAGATCTGTCTGTACCATATCCGGAAAAGTTGTAGCTTTCAAGGTAAGTTGGAGGAGGCTCCTTCATCCCCCTTGTGGGAGGGGTAACTGCTTGTTATTCCCAGAGCTGTGCTCTGAAGATACCCCCTACCAAACCTCTACCCCATCCAGAGAGGATCAGGGCTTGGCACTTTGGCCAAACCAATTCTGAAGGTATTTTGTTGGGGAGTTGAAGATGGTAGCAATTCTTTGAGCTTTTAGAAATTAAATGTGGATCATTTTTGGGAACATAACTGGTTCATGCACCAAATGAGTGTCAAGTATTGAGACTTGGTCAACTTAACATGAAGTCACAGACCTGCACAGGACAGGGAACTGCTCAGCCTGGTGGGAACAAAGATAAGGGTAATGACAGGCTGAGAGCTCCCTTCGAAACTGGAAAGGACTTCACTGCGAAGGAACACTTGTGTTAGCTCTTGGAGGATGAGTAGTTGTTTAAATTGGGGGTTTCTTCTGTATTGATCCAGTGAGCAATCCAGTGATCCCTCTTTTATCAGAAGCAGCAATTCTGGTGTGCATGTGTGTGTCTGTATTTTCACTAAACCTTTGTTTTCTTCTTAAATGCTGTCCTGGGCTTTGACTGAAGAAAGGTTTGTTCTCAAATTTGGTGACTCCCCTTGACAACCACCAAAACTTCTTGGTTCATTTTCAGTTTTTAAAAACTACCCAAGCAATTCATGAATAGTTTCACTCTGTAAAACAGTTCAGTAATACAGAGTGAAGCATGAAGTTCTCCATCATCTTTGCCCAAAGGTAAACACTTCCTGTGTGGTTGTGATATTTGTTTTACCTATTTTTAAGCAGATAGGAGCATGTGATAATGTTGTTATTCAACCTGCATCTTAACATTGTATCTTGGAGATTTTTTCCATGCCAGTATGTGAAAGTCCACCTCATTTTAAAAACAAGTGTGTAGTATTTGATTATAATGATGTGCCATTGTGCATTCAAGTACATATATGTGAGTATTTCCATAGATAGATTCTGGGGAATGGAATGATAGGTCAAAGAATATGAGCTCTATATATACATATATATGTGTATTCTGAAAGCAATATTATTGAGCTATAGTTTACACAAGATAAAGTGTACCCATTTTAAATGTATAGTTCTGAGTTTTGGTAAGTATATATGCTCACGTAACCATGTCTACCATCAAGTTATAGAACCCCCTCCAAAAACATTGTTTTGTGCCCCTTTATAATTAGTCCTCACCCCCTAGTTTGTCACCCCCAGGAAATCCCTGATCTACTTTTTGTCACTATGGATTAGATTTGCCTTTTCTAGAATTTCACATAAATGGAATCATACAGTGTATTATCTTGTGCCTCACTTCTCTCATTAGCATGTTTTTGAGATTCAGTCATGCTGGCATATCGATCATTTGTTTCTTTTTGTTGCGCAGTAGTATTCCATTGCATGATTGAATGCAATTTGTTTATCCGTTCATGTGTTGATGAACATTTGGGTTGTTGCCAGTTTTTGGCTTTTACAAATACAACTTCTATAAATATTTACGTATAAGTTTTCATGTGGATATATGTTTCCATTTCTCTTGGGT